AGCTTCACTTATCTTTGAAATTGAGCTGCGCGCCGCTGAGTCATGCGCGACCTCCAGGGGTCCGCAACACGCGAGGGCCTGCCTATGTGGGCGCTCAGGACTGGACCAGTAGGAACAGTCAAACCAGACGAAGGCTGAACCCCTAAATACGGAGCCACGGACTGAAGGAATAATGAGTTTATGTACCCAGGGTGACTGACGCAGTAAAGATGATCTCTCTTTTTCTGTCTATCTACTATTCCGCACAGAACTGACGACATAATAATTAAGCATATAACAAATATGTGCGTTTTTTGAAGAACAAATTTCGAAAGCAGCCCAAGCCAACGTCGCCCAGAAACGACAAACGGGTGCACAACCTGTCATCAAAGAAGCTGGCGAAGGATCAGATGCAGGTTTTACGGGACGAAGCTTCATTTAACACGGCTGACTCCAAACCTGTTAACATGATTGCAGCAGTGGAATCAATCCTTTGTCAGACGGAGGCAACGAAGGAGACTAAGAACCTCATCCGACACCAAGTGTCGTCTCTCCTGATGGCCAACAGGCTGTGGGAAGTGTTTTCCAAGGTCGAACGTGATGCGCTTAGAGAACTCAAGGCCGAAAAAGACCTGGTCATCGTGCCAGCAGACAAAGGATGCGCCACAGTTGTACTGGACAGAACAGACTACCTTCAAGAAACCAAAGGTTTACTGGAGGACCGACAGTTCCATGTCCCATGTGCAACGAACCCTTTAAAGCCGCTGACAAGCAACAGTAATGCTACGTTGTTGGCCTTGGATAACTCAGGTGCAATAACACCGACCGACAGGCGCATGACGAGACCCCAAGATACGGCTTTGGCCCGATTATATGGCCTAATTAAGGTGCACAAAGACGGCGCTCCTCTCCGACCCATCGTGTCGCTCAAAGGGACTCCAGCTTACGGACTGGCTAAATGGCTGTTCCGGCGTCTCAAGTTCCTGACCGCTGAGTCAGACACCAGGGTCTCTTCGTCAGAACAATTCCTGGAGAAACTCAAAGGGGTAAGCATCCATCCAAATGAGGTCATGGTATCTTTTGATGTTACATCCCATTTTACTTCTATTCCCCAGGACGTGGCGATCGAGACAATTGAACTGCTACTACAAAGCAAATACGAAGAAACGGAGAACCGCCTTGGGCACGCCCAAATCCTTCAGCTCCTGAAGCTCTGTCTCAGGACGTACTTCACGTTCGACGGGACAATCTACGAACAAGTGAAGGGCACACCAATGGGTTCGCAGATTTCGGGATTCATCGCCGAGGCGGTCCTGCAACGGTTAGAGTCGCTGGTCTTCCAACACCACAGACAGAAATTCTGGGCCCGGTATGCGGATGATACCTTCGTCGTCATCAAACGGGATCAGATGTTGACATTCCAAGAACATCTCAACGCCGTCTTCCCGGACATTCAATTTACGATGGAGGAGGAAGAGGACAACCACCTGACCTTCCTGGATGTCCTCGTATGCCGCAAGGATTGTGGTGGACTAAAGACCAAAGTGTTCAGGAAAGCGACAAATACGATGCAAGTACTGAACTTCAACAGTAACCACCCAAGCAGCCACAAACGCAGCTGTGTAAGGACGCACTATCGGCGTGTCGAAACGCACTGCAGTGAGCCGGAAGACAAAATTACTGAACTACAATACCTCCGATGGGTGTTCAAAGCCAATAGCTACCCGCGCAACTCCGTCGACCGGTGCATACGCAAAAGGGACGAAAGGCCTAACCGCATGGACACCAAGTCTTGGCGGGCACTTCCGTATGTCAAGAACGTTTCAGAAGCTGTCGGCCGCCCTCTCGCACCACTTGGGGTTACAGTGACACACAGACCGGAGGCTGCCATCAGGCGTCTGATCATGAAACCGAAAGACCCACTGCCACGGCTAGAAACGTTTGGAGTCGTTTATCGGATCTGGCGCAGTTGCGGACAAAGTAACTACGTCGGAGAAACCGGAAGACAGCTCCGAACGAGAATGCCCGAACACGCGGCAGCGGTGCGCAGAAATAACGCCAGCTCTCAAGTTGCAGCTCATTCGACGAGATCCGGCCACACATTTATATTCGATGAGGGCGAAATTCTCGCAAGAGGTGACAACCGAGTGAGCCGGGAGCTACTGGAATCATGGTTTACTGGCCCCCAGTCCATCAGCAAGTGCAACGATCTTCCCATTCAATACAGCGTGCTGAGACTTCGTCTAGGCGGAGTAATTGGCCACACGGGGAGCGCACTGGTGAACACTCCTCCCAACACCCGGGTCAACGCGTCAGATGGTCGAGCAATCATCACGCCAACATCCAAAGCACGTGATGAAATTGCAGCAATTACCGATTCGAATGTCGGCGATCAAGCAATAATCACACCAAGTGTGACAATCCCGGATGAAGGGGGGGCCGTGAACGTTCATAGGTATGCGGTAGCATGGCTACTGCATCCTATAAATATCGCAGCCCCTTGTGCAACAACCACCCTTTTCTGCACTTTTGTTTCTGTTGATGGATTCGAGTAGGAATCCGAAACGTCAGGCTAATAAAGCTCTTGTCACGGCGATCGTGCCTCCTTCTTCAAGACTACTTCCAGGGACTCGGCTCTTCTCTTCCATTGGCAATGTTTGTTTCTGTCAATTTAGTCCACGGTTATATAGATAAATATCTTTACCTAAGCTCACTCGGTGATAACATGCATGCTCGCCAAAGGCTCTTCTCAGATATTGTCGTATATGTAAGCGATTTAAGATTTCCCAGTGTTAAATACACTTAAGCCGTACGCATTTTTCTCGCCTATCTGGTTAATTTCTGGATATGCAATGGCCAATACTGCTTTTGCTGTTTGATACTGATAATTTTGCTACAGCTCAGTAGGAGCACTGAATATGTGTTGATGATTCAGCTTAGGCAGTTTGTGGAACGCCTTTTAAAAGACAAAATCCGTTTTGTAAGATTTAACTTTTATTTTATGATTCCTTTGTATCATCCTAATTGAATGTACAAAATGGAAGTTGATGTTTCATATTCTGACCATGCATAAAGGAATGCGCCTTATTTGTGCCAAGAAACAACCAGGGATATTGCATATTGTAATCAGTCTTCGAAATATCCAAGTACATTTTTTTAAAAATGCGTGGAAATACGCGGAGCATCCGAAGAACATCCGTGCCGGTCGTTTGATCATTGAAGCTCAACTCAAATAGAGCGTAGCCCGGGGCGTAATCGTAAGTAAAACTAATCGGCTTGCAGTTTCCGGATCTCTTCTCTCCCCACGAATATGACTTAGCGGTTCGGCGCTTGACATTGAGTGAAAGGGATAGTGAGGCTTAGCAACAGATATGCACTTTATCTTAATGATACGTTTAATTTTTGAACATTACTATTCAAACGAGGGAAAATTGGATAGAACTATAGGAAAATGCACAACATGCTGAATACTATTAGGATGCTTAAAACACCGGCATAATCCTGATGATCCCATTTGACATTCCTTTTCCCGGTATACTTTATACTTGTCTGTCCATGCCGAAATTTAACTGCTATATGGATTTTATGATAAATCCCTGACCAGCATGTCCATCTTACACGTCCGAAGTTTTGGTTTTGACAGTTTTCCCTACGAATTAATTATGGTCGATCAAAAGTAGCCAACTCTCGTCATTTTCTTTCCGTTCTAGTTAAATCTATAGAATCTAATCGTCTTGCTCTAACAATCAGTCCGGAACTTCTTGATATATGCACAAAACTATGATACAGTCCACAATTTTCTTAGTGTTGTGAATTTTTTTTAGTTTATAACACAAAACCCGCCCCAAAGCCCACACGCAATTCAGTGAATTTAGAAAAAAATATGCAAGAGAGCAAAGTTCCATAATACCAGGAAGTCTTGACATTCGTTGCTTAAAATATCAACCCGGAGCTTAGTAAATGTGGCGTTGCAATAGATGTTGTATTTGCTTGCCGAACTTGAACTGTAGGGGTGGCATCCAAGTGTATGTCCCGTTTCGATGAAACTAAGATAACATTTCCTTTTTCCAAAATCTGTTTCGAAGGCCGGCAGTTCAATTGTGGTCAACATACTCAGCAAGTAGTGGAAGACATTAGCAAACTGCATGTTTCTGGGAAATTTTATGCAACTATTGCGTGGGCGTTGGTGCGGATGTCCAAATGCTGAAAGGTAATGACCTATGAATCAAATTCATTTTAATGCATTAAAGCCAATTAGATACACATTGAAGGGCCGATAGTAGGATGGGGGCAAATGGCTATTAACTTCTGGCTTTAAGAGTTAAATAAAGTAATGTCTAGCTTTTTATGAAAACACATGTTAGTACCATGTTGGGTGGTTTTCACGTGCATTATTCATCATTATATTTAACAGCACAAACCTTGCAAAATCGAATTGAATGCTGGGCAAGCGCTGTCGTAAGAGCTACACGTCACTGTAAACTGAAATATTATAAAATCTAATAATCGTGCAAATTCCTCTATTGCCGATTCGTTTGCGAAAGGGTTCTTTTAGAGCCAAGCAGAAATTACATAAAAAGGCAAAGACCTAGCAACTTGCCTGCGAAGTTCAACATGTGATAAAGTGCAAACGAAATCAAAAACACTGTCTTCCACATTGCGTAGACGAACTGACGGCGATTGTACTTCACAGAATGTAAATAAAGATTAAAAGAATTCCATTGGTATTAACGGATTGGTGAACAAGTCAAGCAAGAAGGCCCACTCATATTCAGATACTGAAATTCAGTCACCAGTTTCTGCATCGTGATTGGAAACGATAGGGTCAATAACCCCAGTTAAATGTTGGTAGACTGTGGATAGGGTCACCTGAGAATAGCAGAAATGGGGTATTACGGGTGGACAGTATGCCGGACAGAAAACCGTGGAAATGCAGGAAAATATGTTGAGCCGTCGGTGTCCAAAACGCTACTTTTGAGTTAAATGATGAGTTTATGAAGATGGGGTATGCAACTTCATAATCTAAGGTGCTACATCTTGAAAGGATCCCTGAACATCGAGCAACTGAGCCTATTCCTTGGCAGATAATTATCTTATCCCCAATTCGTATTTAGTTGATTTTGTTTTCTCGTCTATTTAGTACAACTGTCAGTCATCAATTGTTAACCAGATTTTGCAAGTACACACATCAAATGCCTTATCATTGCGTCTTGCAATCAACCCGCATCCTTGCGTTCTTATACCTGAAGGCTCAGATATTCTTAGGCTATCATATTCTAACCACTCCTGTGATTCTTTACACACAGTGTTTTGCGATTTTTATACTTGCAATGTCTATGATGAACGGTAATATATACAATATAAGACGTCAGTATATTTATGCCTTGATCGCAGTAAGGAATCCTTTGATTGGTTACCGTAAACATATTCATGGACAGCCTCAGCCTTTGCGAGCCATCCGGCTGTCTTCACTTTCTCGCAGCTGTTGATGTGCTGGCGGCGATATTGATAGAAGGCTGCATTCGGCCAACAAGTTGTTGATGATTGCGTTGTTTCCGTCCAACGACTCCTCGTGGGGGCCATGTGCGCGACCGGGGACAGCCAAGGCGGTCCAATGAACTGCGTCCCGCAGTAGGCATCAAAGGATCTCCACGGAAGCGCTTTCAACCGCAGCCGTCAGTTCTTTCAGCCGCTGGGCCAGTTAAATGCTGAAATACAAACGACTAGTAGGCAAAGACAAAGCGGAATTCGCCAAACGTGTAGTTGATTAACTTGGGGCCTCCCGAGGGTTTGCAGGCAGAGCCTCCTCTTGCAGATGGCAGGAAGATGGCCTGTTTAGCCGCAGATTACCCTATTCACCATTGCGCCCTGCCTATCTCGTCGCCAAACGAGAACATTGCCCAGCAACTGCTATTGCCACGTTCGGGGTGCATCGACAGGCGCAAGCATGTGTTGACCAATAGGAGGCGGTGCTAAGCGGAGCTTCGCAGGAAAAATAGGTCACTCTATCGGCCTGCGATGTGGGACGGAGGAGAGAAAGAGGAAGAAAGAAATAATTATTTCTGTTTTAATAGTGACAACCCCACGTGTAGAAGATTGCGAGCCACGGTTTGCGTGCAGATGCCGTGAACCCCGCTTTGTTTAGGGAACATTGTCTACATCCTCCCTTTAGAGTGGCGAGAGGTGCTTTTCTTGAATAGAACCGTTTTGTCGCACAGGACGAAACTTTCATGCTAATACAAATTGGATAAATTAAATCATGTTTATCCTTAGATTTCCGCCTTTTTGCAACTCCTTTACGCACCTAAATTAAAACTAGAGTACTGTTTGAATAAAAGAGAGTATGCGTGAAGACCAAAAATAGTCTGATACTCGAATTTTAATTTTTATTTCGAGGAGATGGCGTTCAGGCATTGATAAAAACTGCATTGGAATAAGGTGTGCGATCAGTCGGCGCAATTGGAATTGCATTCACGTCACAAATATAGTCAAATCAACCCCAATAAAACAGTTTGGCAATACTTTGTACGAAATGTATAATTTTTAATTGCATAGAAACATCACATCCAAAATATATTAACGCTCGACATGCATTCTATATATAAAACGGTGCTTTTTAAAATGCTGGGTGAATTGGGGGGGAGGGTTGGCGTTTCCATAAATACCGATGACCCGGGGGAACTGTGATCGATGAAATAGATTAAACACAATCTCTTAAATGGAGAAGCAAGTAACTAGTGTATTTCAGCTCAGATATACATATAACATTTTAGACCAAGAATTTGATGGTCTGTTCCTAACGATTTAATTCAGGTTCGCGCAGTAATTTACTCGGAAAATAAACAAGACAAAAATCATCCATGAATTAGTCTGCTTAAACGTCGCAAATACGCAGACAAAGCAACACGTCGCTGCGCCGAGGCATATTTACGAAGATGAGGAGACTATAATCAATAGAAGCATGCTTTCGCAACTCGCTTAGCCTCTTTTGCGAGTCGCAAGATAATTCCGTCCATGATTGAGGATGATCTTCGAATGAGACCCTTATCTATGGCCTCTGCTTGCGAGACTACTGCCTCATATCCTTTGTATTTTCACGTACAGGGACAGCGGACTTTCCCCTAATTTACGACTGGAAATACAGCATTCAGCCTCTGATATATCCTTTCGGCTCCGCGGTTCTTTATTTCGACAAAGGTGTCGTTGACATAGACGAGCCATATTTTGGGGTTGAGAGTTTCAGAATCCCCATCTCCTTGTCGCTGGTGCAGGAGTTCGACGAGTGGTCTGGATTTTGCTGGGCCCATTGGACTCCCCGTTAACTGTTGGTTGTAAACATTGTCCAAATTACAATCGTTTATATGGCAAAGTTTAAGCTGTTTTATAACGTGATGCGCTGGGTATCAAGAGGATTATCCTGTAGCCGTTGGGCTACGCAAGTGATCGCCAAATCGTGTGGTAAGGAAGAGAACGCACCGACGTTTAAATACAAGAGGCATTCCCTAGTGCATGCACTGGGGCCTTCAATCCAGTAGAGAACGTTTTGGGAGCTGTT